TCATGCTGATTCTGAGTAACATTTACAGAAAACACAATGAAGCCAATTGGTTTTTTTTTCTAAAAATACTTTGACAAAAGCATTAAATTCAAAAGACTATAAATGGTTGGGAGGCGAGAAATATGGTTTAATTTTTTTCTTACAAAATTTACTCATACTTTGAGGACTCAATGCTGATAGCCACATGTATTTCATAGGACAGATTCATTATTTTCTCCTTAACTTTTAACTATAAAGCAGAAAAATACAGGATAATATTTTAGATTATTATAAAAATACCTTTTAAACATTGAAAACTATTCACTTAAAGAAAACGGTGTAACACAAGGAAATCTAGAATGAGCATCACATGCATCCTTAGTCAGGCAGTGATCTCCCCGGCCTGGGTGGCCTCGTTGTAAAGATGAATATAATAACACCTGAGTATGAAAAGGGAGATAGGTGTTTATGAAGTCTCTCTCATTTTCTCTCACTCTCAAAATTGCCAAGCATTCTACAGACCTGAAATAGTGTAAGATAGGCTGACATGATTGAGATACCTGTAAGTGTATATAACATGTTTTGCATTAAATTGAAACTCCAGCAGGCCTCATTCTTACCATGTCTCACCCCAACCACGCCCACAGCCTCAGGTGGCTCCAGGTCAGAGCCAGTTGATCTACGGATGCCTGGGAGCCTGGTGCACACACTGAGCACACCGGCTTCTCTCATCAACCACACAGTTTTCTCGCCTCGGGCCCCACAGGCATTTCCACGGACCATGCTCCCCTCCATTACCATGCTTATCTACTGTGCTTTTTATTTTCTCCCCCAGTCCTTTTGTCTCAGAAAGTCTCAAAGTCTCATCTCCAAAAATTATCTCTACAAAAAAATGTATATTCCTGGAGTTAAGAATTAAACCAACTTTAGTTTAAAATCTAACTTCACACGCTTAGCCTCTCTGATCCGGTTTTTGTAACCAGAAAATTGGGATCCCAAGGGCTACTTCAGAGATTGTGCTGCAGGTAGAAAGGTATTTTATATTCTGTATCTATTTATATTAGAGCCTACCATTAAGAAATTATCCAATAAGCAGAACTTTTTAGGACTGGCTTTAATATGATTTTTTTTATTGTTATCAGAAAACTCCACAGGGTCAGCAGTTAACCCTTGATCACCCAGAGCTATGTAACATTCAAGTGAGCGTGTATGTCCTGCACTCATCATCCCAATTGCTAAGTCACAAACTTCTTGAGGGCGAGAACCATTCATTCAATATTTCCCGAGGGCCATCTTCCCCCTAGACACTTCGCTCAAACCCCGGGCTCTCACGCAAACTGCCTCCCTTTGTTCCCGTGGAGCTTACATAGAGAGGAGAGGCAGCTCATCAACAGGTAAAAAACAAAACAAACTAACAGAAAAAAACCCTGCAAAACCTAAAAAGTTGCTCTTTGCAAAAAGTGAAAGTGAAATAACTAGGTAATATGATAGAGATACCCAGGGAAGGGAAAGATACAAAGCTGCATTTGACAAAGGGAACAAGGAGGGCTCTTCGAAGACACACAGAGGAGCCAGCCATGCACAGATCTGAAGACAGAAAGTAACACAGGCAAAGGGAGATCAAGCTCCGACCCGGAGGAGGCAACGACAGAGAGAATGGGGAAGCCGAGGGAGGGACAGAATCACACAAAGTGATGTTGGAGGGTGGCCCGGCTCCACATCTCACTGGGCTATAGGGAGGGACAGACTCTGGGGATGAGCCTCTGATTTTATTGTTAAGCCACAATAAAATTATTTGTGGCTGGATGAATTCTAAGATTAGCTTGCTGTTTCCTCGTATTTTTGTTTGCAATAGGATTTCATCACTTGCCTTAGCACCTGGCAAGAAAATACCCAATGTCATCCCCAGGTCCCCTATGTCCCTTCATCCAGTCATCTGCAGAAGACAAGTGTCCAGTGAGGAGCCCTTGAGCCATTTCAAAGCCCTCTCCCTCCCGTCAGCTGTGTCCCAGTCAGTGTGGCTGCCCAGCGAGAATTGCTTCAACCCGTGTTCTACTGCTGCTCCCTGGCATTTGGGAAGTTGGCTCCGTTGCCTGAGGAAGACATTTTAGGAGAGGTTTCCATAGAAACTCAAACTTTCTCTCCAGCTGCTCATGTAGTTTATCTCTTTATTTTTAAATGCACATTATTTTTCTTTCATCAGCTTTTGGGTTCTTGATTTTTTGGGTACCAGAGAAATAGCACCAAATCTCTGGGAACATCATCCCTTTTGTTTTCCTTTAACAATGGCTCCTAATTGTGTTTCTGTGGCTCAGAGGAAGAGGCGTAGAGGTCTTCTGCCACAACTAAGCATTTCTCACATTATTGTTCATTCTTGCTCTGATTGGCGTGGCTCAGTGGGATGGGCATTGTCCTGTAGGCCAAAATGCTGCTGGTTCGATTCCCAGTCAGGGCACATACCTGGGTTGGGGGCATGTGAGAGGCAACCAGTCAAAGTTTCTTTCACACATTGATGTTTCTGTCCCTCTCTTTCTTCCTCCCTTCCTCTCTCTCTAAAAATACATTAAAAAAAAATCTTTACCCTTCCTCTCAGAATCCTTTAGATGGCTGGCCCTTCATCACTAGTTTACCATTGACAGCATTGGATTTCCATAAAAAGTCTTACTACACACATCGTCCAACCTCTGTCTCCTTGCCTGTCCTCTACCCTTGACCTTGACCTTGACCTCCTCCCCAGATCACTTCGAGCCCGATTGAGAAACACCTGCAGTTTCTTCACACAAGCTTAGGTCTTGCATAGACTGGGCCACCAGGAGTACCATTTCTTCGAGCTTCCTGTCTTGTGCCCAATCTTAATTTATGTTAAGTAGTGGGCATGGTTCCCACTACTTGACATAAGTTAAGTGGAGAAGTCCTGACCTGCCAAGATCTGATTAGATCACCTGTAATGTTTTCTTCACAATGATTCTCAATTATAATGAAACCAACATTTGCGATGTCTCTCTCCATTAAAGTGTATACTCCTTAAGGAATCATCTTCCTAATTTCTGTATCAATAGTATTTAGCAGAGTATTTTGCTATGAGTAAAAGAAAAATACTGTATTAGGGAAGTAGTTATATTGAAGCCCGAGAAGGAAGAATTAAGTAGTGAAACCAGTTGCTTTGTGCATTTATAAGGATAAAATTTGTTTTCCCCAAGGAAACAAGAATATATGTCACCTGACATGACACGTGGGAAAAATAAGTCTGTCTCAGTTTTAGCAAAGCCATCATCCAATGTGGTGTGACTGCAAGGGAAAGGCACAGTCGAGGGCCACGCCCAGTGGTGTGATGAGGAAACCATAGGCCTCTCCGCTTCTTTGGTGCACAGCTGAGCAACAGCTGAGCAGGACAGCCAGCAAGGGCAAAACAAAATTCTCTCTCCACAAAAAAAAAAAAATGGCAAGAGAGAAAGTTAAGGGGAACAAAAGAGGGGAAAAAAGAAGGGAGTGGGGGAGGAGAGGGACAGACAGGACACTCGGGAAAAGGAGAAGAGCCACATGGAGATGCCACATGCCCTTGGGGTGGGAGGATGGAGACAGCACCAACAGGCGGGAGAGTGAGGACTGGCAACAAGAGCCAACCTGCATTTAGAGAACCACAGACCCTTGACGATTTACAAGTCTGTGCTGTGTAAATGGACAGACACTTAGTGAGACACCAGGCAGGAGGCCGATGTGTGAGATGATTTATGCCTGTAGGTTAAACTTCATCACAGCAACTAAGATAGTTCCTGAGTCTCTCTGGCATGTTTGCTGGGTGCCTCTGACATAGTCCTGTGTGAAGTCTCCGCAATAACCTGTTTGCACCAACCAGGAAACCACGGCTCAGAGAGCTTGAAGTACTTGCTTATAGTCACACAGGGAAAACATGGCAGAGCCTAAGTCTGTCTTCAAAGCTGGAATCTGTCCATTACAATACCCTGTCCTGGCCCATAAATGGGGCCTCAGGAAGAAAAAATGAGGACCATATCTGCAACACAAGGAGGGAATGCTACAAGGTAGATACAATGTGGCAGTCAAGTCAACTTTCTAAAAATGGAAAAGCTGCTCAAGAAGGAATAGAATCTGTGAGGCAATAACCTAACTATAGGAAATTTGAACACGATGTTCTTTCTGAAGCAAATCTAATTATGTTGCCCTCCTTTCCAATATCCTCCAATGATTCCTTACTGCACTTGGGATAAAACTCAAAGTCCTCACCATGGCCTGTAAGACTCAGCACCATCCAGCGCCTCGCTCCCTCTGCAGCCCCACCCAGCACTCCACTGGCTTCTCCGTCTGCCCCACCCCCAGTTAGGCAGGCCATCCTCTTCCTGCTCGGGGCCACACCCCGTCCCAGAGATTCGACACAGGCCCATCTGCCTTTATGGAAGCTTCTCCCTTCTATCCCTCATCTAACTTCCGGAGACTCACACTTTCCACAAAGCTCTCCCAGATCGCAATGTAGTTTTTCCCCATACTTTCCACTCCCTCCTCGCACCTTGCACTCTGCCTTTGTATCACAATGCAGTGATGACCTCTGTGTATGTAACACATGATAATTTGGTTAACACCTGCCTGGCCCTACTAGATAGGTGGCTCCAGAAGGGACCATTTTCTTGTCCACTGAGGTATCACCAACACACACTACAGTGTCTAAAATGTCGTGGGGGTATGAGAACTCAAATATTTTTTGTTGACTATGGCAATGAACTTCATGAAGGAATGCTCCAGGCCCAAAAGGAGGAAGTAAGATGACCACTGAAAAAACTTCTACATACAATCAGAACCTATGTGTTAAAGGTCCGCACTAGACAGTGCGACCTTTCCACCATCACTTTCCGAAACATGCAGCAAGTTCAGTTACTCCTGAGCAGTGGGCATCATTTGGGGAAAAGAGGAAACTGGCTCCTACTCCCAGTATCCCCTGCCCCAACACTGCTATCCACACTAGCCTGGTTTTAACATACCTTGAGGGTTTTTAAAAAATGTCTGCGTAAGCATGGTAATGGGTTTATGGCGGGCCCTTCCCTGTGGGCCTCTCAGGGAAGCCCATGCCAGAGTAAACTGCAGCCTCCAACCATTGCCCAGACTCCTTATCTGCGGGCTGTGAGCACTGAAGGCAGTTGTACAGTGTGGGGGAAAAGACGGGAAAACATGTCTTTATTTTCTCATATATTTGTCTTATACTCATCCCCTCTTTATTCCAAACAGCAGTCAGACAACCAGTGCCGTGGAGGTCCAGGTCCTCACTTATTAGGAAAATAAAATACAAAATGAATAGCCAAGAGCGTTAGCATGAAAACAGTCCGAGCCAGATTGGGTCCGCACCTGCTCAGAGCCACCAAGGCATTTCCACGCAAATGAAATTGACACCACGATCCCAGGATTTCTAGTTTATGTTGGACTGAAGTCAGAAACCTGAGGTCTGGGGAAAACAGAGAATCTGTAAATATGTAAGTAATTCTAGACACTAAAAAAAGAGAGGAAGTGAGATAAAGACAGACTGCACAATGCCACCTAGCTTCTAAAATAGTTCCTTCTCCAAAGTTTTAACTGGGTATCAGCTAATTCGAAACAAAGGTCTCTAACCACATATGAAGTGTTATAGTCATACAATTTGATTTTCTAGTTTGGTAGCTTTTTCAGTGGTGTGATTGTTTTCAGAAGAGAGAGTAACAAGAGACCCTGGATGTTTTCCTTGCATTGAGAGAAATGTCCACTTCTGCTGCCAACTAACCCCCGACCTCCGACCTCCGACCCCCGACCCCTGACCCCCGGGCTCGTTCACTGAACACTGATTGTGTGCCAGGCACAGTGCTGGGCCCTGGGGGATGGAGGGAGCAGAAACTGGAGGGCCCAACTTCTCAGAGTTGCCAGTCAAGTGTAAACACGTACCCAGCTTGTCATCATAAAGACGTCTGTCTTGCTATTCAGATACACACACTGTGCCACTCTGTGTCTCACAAAGTCCTTTCACACACGTCACTTCGTGTCATCTTCCCAACAACCCTGTAGGGACAGCATGAATATGAAGAGTTTCTCTTTTTCTAACATAAATGAAATGAGGCTCACAGCCCCAAAGAACTGGCCAAGAGTTACGTATGTTATGTTCTTTTCACTACTCCAACAGGAACAAAACACAGCAAATGTTTAAAATGCACTTATAAAGGCTAATCATTTACATACATTACGATAGTTAATTATTGCAACAGACCTATGATTCCTATTTTAACAATGGTATAATTGAGGCTCAGAGTTTGAGTAACTTATTGCAAGTTAGTCATTCAGGAAAAAAAAAGAAATAGAGACTTGAACCTATTTGACTCTGTAATTGGCATTCAACTGCTGTCAATACAGTATAAGCTGGTTATATCCCTTATTTAATCAGATGAGAGCTATCATTACGACCAATTTGAAAACAGAGAAACTGAGGTCCATAGAAGTGCAAAGCCACATTCAAGGTCATACAGTCCAGAGTGTTGAAGTTAAAATACCCAAGATGTGAAATACAACCCACTTTGCACTTGTCCCACAGTTCTCAATTAGGCACAACACAGAGAAAAAGATATGTAGAAAGATCCTCTGCTCTAAATTGTGGTTTCAAGGTGAAGTGGAAGGTACTCTCCTAATGGACCTTGACTCGGTCAATGTATTTGGGTGTAATCGAAGAGCTGAAAGTAGGACATTTATAGAGTAAGATGGCCCCACGCCTTTCAGCACCTCGTCAGTGCCAGAGCCCCTGCTGTAAATGAAATTTGATTCTTGCTGACGTGTCAATGTTAGCCTATTTAAAGAGACTGACATCTCCCTTTCTTCCAAAGAAAGATGTTAGGAGAACCACTCTCTTTAATAGGAGTGTAAGATAATAGGAGGCACATTTGAGTAGAATACAGGGTTCATGCAAGAGAGAATATGGAGATAAGCTGGAGAAGAAGATAAAGTTCCTATCATTCATCCACAGAAAAATCATTTAGTACTCTCTATATGCCTAGCACTGTGTGTAGATCTAGGGGACAAAGATGAAAGTGACAGATGCAGTCCCTGACCCCACAGACCACATAGCCCAGTAGACCTTGATCGGCAGACTCAGAGTTCGTATGACTTCAGGTGCTGGACAGTTACTGAGGGTTTTCAGGAAGGGAATTATTTGCCCATAGCTGTTCCTCCCACAGATCAGGGACTCAGAGGTTATAAGTCCCTCCCCACTGACCTCTATAGCTGCACTTGGTGATGAGGTAGCCCCTAGCCACGTGTGGCTATCAAGCACTTGAGACACAGCTAGTCCCAAGTGAAGTGTGCTGTAAGTGTAGAAATCACATTAGATTTTAACGGCTTTGTGTGACCAAAAACAACAGCAAAGTCAAATCTCATCAAAACATTTTGCCAATTAACAGTACAAATAATAATGATAAAGATAATATTTTGTATTTACTATTGGATTAAATGTTACTAAAATTAAGTTCACCTGTTTCTTTTTACTATTTTAATGTGGCCACTAGAAAATTTACATTTACATATGTGGCTTGCATTATACTTCTTTGGGCGTTGATATTCCAGAGACTTCCTGGTAAATGTTCACTCAGTCTTTTCTTGAGAACCTCTGCCGACTGCACATTCATTGCCTCCTGAGAGACTCCATTCTGTTGCTTAATGGCTCTGGCTACTAGGAAGTGGTTCTTTTGAATAAACCGCAGTCTGTCTTTCTGAAGATTTTATCCACTGGCAACCATGATGCTCCGGGGGTGTCCCACCTGTGGTCTACAGGCAGCATGCGGCTCAGGATGGCCATGAGTGTGGCCCAACACCAAATCATAAATTTACTTAAAACTTTTTTTGCTCATCAGTTTTTATTAGTGTTTGTGTATTTAATGTGTGGCCCAAGACAACTCATCTTCCAGTGTGACCCAGAGATGCCAAAAGGCTGGACACCCCTGCCAGGGTGTCCTCCCAATAGTGACCTTCAGCCATCTTTTCCCACTTGCCTGCCCTAGATGTTCCAGTCTTCTCTTATTTCCAGTAAACACCTCTAGCTGGTTTTATTATTTCTTGCACTGTATGTTTTCCAGGTCTCTGATGGTCTTGCTACTCTTCTCTGAAACGTTGTAAATTATCAGTCCTCCTTCGGAAAGAAAGACAGAAAAGAGCGCTGGCTGCTGGCTGGAGGCGAGTGTGTATGATGGTTTAAAAACCCTTCCACTTGGAACCGGAGACAAGGGCACTGCCCTTCTCTCCTGCGGTGTGCAACCTGGCAGAAGCCACTTCACCTCATGTATAAGAACATACCAAAGACCACGGGAAAGTGAAAGCAAAACACAATGTCTCACGACACGATCTCCACAGCCAATGTTTGTTTTTAACTGCCCAGCATTCATGTCTCCTTCCATTAAAACCCTTCTCCCATTTCAAATTGTGTAATTTTTCCAGTGTTTGGAGGGAAGAAGGGCAAGCTTGCCCTACACTTCCAGCTTCAGGGAAGCCTGAGCCCAGGCTGGGAGGGGCAAAGTCCCAGGTCGGGTCAGCGCCAGGCACAGGACTCAGCCAAGGCAAGTGCTCCATGTGCAGAGCGTCTGCTTGAGAACACAGCCAGCAGAGGGAGCCAACCTAGATATAGGGGCGGGGATAAGACTTGGTAACAGAATTCGTGTCATTGGACTCTCTGTTTCTACGTGTGCTTCAAGTAATACACTCCACGGCTTTTTTTAAACTGAAATAATACATTTATTTGTTCCCAAATCCAGTATGAGCTTACAACCAACACAGCCTAATGCATTGTTGTTGGTCACTAAAAGACTTCCAGGGCTTCTGCCTCATTTCGAGCCCTTCTGATCTGTCACACGGGAACCCAGCCTCACCAACGAGCAGCGATGCTTTGTCAATAAACAGGGAGAACCTGCATGTTAAGATGGCAGAGGGGAGGGATGGGAGAGCCCGGATTCTGAGTCTCTGTCCTTTCTTCTTAAGAAGTATATTCATCAATCTCCCCCCATGTCATGGAAAAACTACATGGTCAACCTTTCACTTATTCAAGTTGTCATTTTGTATTAAAATGATACTTATTATCTCCTCTGAGGTATGCAACAAATAATTAAATAACATTGCAGCATCCCTCACGGGTGGGCAAAAGCAGGTTTACAGTTGTTCATATGGGAAAGAATACAATCATTAATAAATCATATTTTGAGAATATACTCTTGTGTTTTGCTTACTCACAACTGTAAACCTACAATGGCCCACCCCTTATAAAATCCCTGCGTGTGCCAAAACAAATTGACTTCCACTAGAATTCATAGCACACTTTATCTGCACTTCTGATTGGTTCTTGGCAGGCAGCACCTTCTAACACTTCAACCTTCTGGGTCTCCCCCCGCCAACATCCTAACAAACAGGTTGTATCACAGCGCCCTAGAACTGGAAAGAGCTTTCAGGAATGGCTGCTGCTCTACACCCTTGGCATATTGACAAAGAGCCCAGGGAGTGAGCACTGACTTTCTCAACACCCAGCACAGCCAGAGACGGAACCCGGGCAAGAGTTCAATGCTCCTGAAATACCTCTTGGCTTTTGTGTGGTGAGTGGAGCTCCTCCTTGAAAGGTCTCCTTCCGTTATGCAAATCATCTCCAAATTTCTTTCTTTCACAAGATCAGATGACTCTATCCTAGTGTTTATAAAGTGGGCTTCCTTGGTTGGGGTACTTAGTTATTGATAACATGAATAACTGCTACTATTTATGGGCCAGGCACCTGCTGCTTGTTTATGGCCGCTATCTGGCACAGTCTTCATAAAAACCTCTTCGGGGTTTGTACTTTTAGAATTCCCTTTGTACAGAGAAATGAGCTGTGGTTTAGAGAGGCTATGCACTTGGCCCAAATCAGACATTTGATAAATGGTTAAGTAAATGGGGTTGAATTTAATTTCCAGCCCTGACTCCAGACCCTGAGTTTTTATTCTATATTCTATATCCTCAGGGAGATTCAGCAAACTGTTTCATTAGAACATGTCTGAAAACAGACAAAGCTTTAGAATTAGAGGTGCTGCTTCCTGGGTCCTCACTGACCTGTAACATATTTTCAATATATTAGCAGATATGCTCAGAAACATCCCTGTCCAAGTCCTCTGAGCTAACTATTTAAATGC